CATTTTTTTAGCAACTGAGCTATTTCCCCAGATCTACAGCACAGCTGTGGCCCTGGGATTTTTCCCTTTGAGTCTGTCTGTTTTTGCGTGGCCAGCATCTTTTTAGTTATGTATTTTATGAGCCATATGAGCGCTGCCCCTAGCCTCCTGCTTTTCCTGAACTCCAGCAGTTTGTCCTTTCCAGCAGTATCCTCCTCGTGGACTGTGCTGATTTGTTGCACTAAATTTTCCCCTTCCTGCTCTCTGTTTGATCCGTCCTCACTCACTCAGGGTCTCATGGTCCTGACACAAATAGACAAAGTGGCATAACATAGTTCTATTTGAATTTTGCATAGTTGATACATTTGGGAGGGGATGACTTACAAAGAAACGGGTTTTCATAAAACCCTTGCACCTTTCAAGCCCACACAACAACGCCCTGCCATTCCCCGATGGATCCCAGGGTTCCAACATTGCTGCTCAGCCCCTCTTCCCAGGGCGCACCTCATCTTGTCCCTGGCTGACTTACTCTTTTCAGAGGAATGAGTAATTTTCAGGCTACACCTACCTTTTAGGTTATAACCCTTATAGAGGATGTCTTTTCTGTTTTTAAATAATTTTAAAAAGCTTAAGGAAGTACTCGGAATTTGAGGTGATGTCAGCAAGATAGCAGACACTGTAGCACACAGCATCTACCATTCTTTCTCTTTAAAACATTCTTGAACAGAGAGAATTTGCTCTGCTGAGAAAGGATTAGCAGGTACCTCCTAGAGCTTGCATTGATGCCATTTATACCAGGGAGTGGAAAAGCCAGAAGGAAATGATTACAGGTCTTTAAGTTTAGGGAGCAGGGTTACCACATGACTATATTACCCTAAAGAAAAGACTCAGACCACATTGTACCCTCTTCAGCACAGGCTACTGATGGACAATATCATCTTGAGATCCTATCCACACAGAGCCCTATGATGGTACTACAGGCCTTCCTCCAAGCACTGGACAACCCAGACCTGTGACACAGGCTAAGATTGTTCTCAACAAAGCACAAAATAGAATAGTGGTTTCTGGAGCCTTGGAGAGGTAGAGATACTTTGCTGGTGGTGGAAGTAGTGGTGGTGGTTGTGGTGTGTGTGTGTGTATCTGTGTGTGTGTGTGTCTGTGTGCAGGTACTTGAGAAAGGATGATTATTGGGTGCATGTTGACCTTGGTTGGCAACAACTGTTGGAATACTTTGAAACAGGTATTAAAAATATTTTAAATATTTTCAACATGAATAAGAGATAAATATCTATGGTAATAGATTTGTCAGTTCCCATGATCTGTCCATTAGCTTGTGTGTGTGTGTGTGTGTGTATGTGTTTGTATACATATGGTACTGTACACTATAAATTTCCATGAGTCAATTACAAATAAAAATAAAGAGAGTAGGAATGTATCTATTAGCAAGGACTAACTCAGAGGGAGAAGAGGAGGGAGAGAAGAGAAGAGGAGGGGAAAGGGATGGAGAAATGCAAGGAGAAAGGGAGTACAAGATAGTGTGGGGCAGAACACACACACCCGAAATACATGATTTTAATGAAATGTCCATATGTAACAGACTACTGTGTTACTAAAAATATACAAATAAAAAATAATATTTAATTATTAATGCATGTATGTAAGTGTATGCATAAACAGTTATATAAAGCATGTGGCCTATTGTTGCCCATGGTGGTTTATTTTATTAGTGATTTCTGCTGATATACTTATTTTTCTTTTTTTTGACATTTAAATATAAGATTTGCTTAAAATTTCAGAACAGAATATGTCATAACATTTAACATATGTAGACACATTAATTTGCTATAACTACTATAACAAAGTATCATAAAAGTTCCTAAAAAATAGACATTTACGATCTGGAGCTGTGGTTAAGAGCATGTGCTGTTCTTCCAGAGGACCAGAGTTCAATTCCCAGCAAGCACATTGGGCAGCTCACAACTGCCTGTAACTCCAGTTCCTGAGGGATCTGACACCTCTGGTTTCTGAGGGAGAATGTAATCATGTGCACATATCCCCACACAGACACATGCATACACATATAATTTTTTAAAAATTAAGAAATAGACATTTATTTATCAGATTGTGTATGGTGCAGCATGCTTTATATCCCAGCATTTGTGAGCTAGAGGCTAGCCCGTCCTAAAAAAGAATAGAAAAAAAATAGATGTTTATTTCTGGCAATTCTGGAGGCATGAACACTGAGATAAATTGTTAGTAGAATTGGTTCTTTCTAAGGTCTGTGAGGAAGACTCTCTTCTGTTCCGTTCTTTTAGCTTTTCTTGGTTTGCTGGCACTTGCTGATATTCTGTGGTTTCTTATATATACTTATTTTTCAGTGGCAGGGCTGGCTATAGTCACCTAAGACAATAATCCCAGTGCTCTGGGGGCTGGTGCAAGTGATCTGTGAATGCCAGGCCAGCCTGTACTACATAGTACTTTCAATAAAATAAAATGGGGAGGAGGGTGAAAGGATTCAGTGTGTGAAACAAAAATACTTCATAGTAATTTCAAATTTGTGCTTTTGTCTGATTTCCCTTGAAATGTCATGGCTACTAAATTTGAAAATTATTGATAAAGGTTTCTCTTTTCTAAATCATAGCCTTATTCATTACAATCACAGGCAGATTAGATAAGAGAAGGAACATAACTATAGTATCAGGATGCCCTAGTGCTGGCTACCCAGAAGCTCTGCTAGGAGTTTTTTTTTTTTTTAATTATGATGAATAAGATTGTGTGGGATGTTCTGTATGATATACACACACACAAAATCCCCAACAAATTTTAAAAAAAGGACATATTTGAGGAGGAAGCATAAAAACTTACTTCATGTTAAATAGTAGAGGTGATAAGCTTTATCACTGAAATATACCTTATGCCTTTATATCCATACTTAGGTGCCAAGTATCCGAGTGTAACCAACTATGACTAGTAATAATCAGATACATAGAGATTAAAGACACATGTGCAAACATCTAAGCGTTAGTAGCATTAAAAATGTAGGAAACAACCTGGGTGTGCTGGTGGACGCCTTTAATCCCAGCACTTGGGAGGCAGAAGCAGGCGGATCTTTGTGAGTTCAAGGCCGGCCTGGCCTACATAGGGAGTCCCAGGA